GAAGGTTGTGTACAAAGTTGAATCATTACCTATCGCAAAACTCAGTTCAACTGTACTATTGATTTCTTTTGCTAAAAATTGAGGAAGTTTCAATGCTTTCTTGTGAAGCACTCCCCTGTAACCCCTCAGAAAATCTGTCTCTCTAGAAATTAGAACTTGCATATATGATTAAGACTCCCCAATTATTGATTGTGCTATACAGTTCTGTATATAGAACTACAATTTTTTGTGATTTGATTTAATTGGTAATCAGTGCAACTATTACCAATTAAACCTGCCTCATTCGACGATTTGTTGAAGAAAGAAGGAGAAATTTTGCTGCACGTGTACTTCACACCTTGCTATATGAATTGTTGAAATGTTGACCCGAGATTACTACACCTACAACAAAGGGAAAAATTGAAAAAACTTCCATGTAAATTTTTTTAAAAATAGTACCAAGAGACGCGCGGAGCAGAAATTGAATTCGGATAATGCAAATTAATGCTCGTCCTTCGGACGTGTGCAGTTTTGATAGATTTTTAAAAACGCACTCGTGCATGTTTTTTCCAAATTGCACTCTAAACCATGCTATTAGATATATAAATATCTTCATGTAACATCATTGATTTTAAACTGTTTTTGAGGTTTGTTCCTCCAAAATCATTAAGTCGTTTCCAATTTCAGGGAACACACTGCGGTAAGATCCACGCATTTTATGATAAACTTTTGTTTAACGTTCAATCACTTGAGACAATGGGAAAATAAAGAAGTTAAACTGGTATGCTCGTATGTGCCTTGATAAATTTGAGGGAATTTTGTGCAATTTAGTGTGCATGGAGGATGATTGGAAGCATAGGGATAGTATCCAACTTACTTTTGCACTTAGGAAATGGACGGAGAGAAATCCCGTGGATTTCCACATCATGTGGAGACATCCCCGCTTTAGTGCATTACAGAAGCGCCAACACAAAGTTAAACAAAGACGATGTGTCTACTGTAATGAAACAAATCATTCATATGTCAATTGTAAGGATGCTGCAGTAAGGATGATTTAAAGTTCATTGATTGAGAGGTTGAAAGGCTGCTAAAAGAAGAGATCATAGAACCAAGCAACTCCCCTTGGAGAGCACAAGTCGTTGTGACCAAGGATGATAATCACAAAAAGAGACTTGCTATCGACTACTCCCAAACTATTAATCGCTTCACTCAACTAGACGCCTTCCTGCTACCAAGGATAAATGACTTGGTAAATGACATTGCACAGAATCGAGTCTTCTGCACAATTGATCTACAAAGTGCGTACCATCAGGTTCCTTCAAAGAGGAAGATAAGCAATACAAAGCCTTCGAAGCACGCAACAATCTCTATCAGTTTACACTTCTCCCATTTGGTTTGACAAATGGGGTTGCCTGTTTTCAACGTGAGATGGTAAAGTTTGTTGAACAGAACGATCTCAACGCAGTATTTCCATACTTGGATAACATCACTATCTGCGGTAAAGACCAACAAGAACATGATGCAAACCTTGAGAAATTTCTTATTGCAGCAAAGAGGAAGAGCATCTGTTACAACGACTCAAAGGTGCCTTGGTATGTTCTCTTACTACTCTCAGTGGATCCAAGAGTTCTCCAACCGCATTAAGCTACTAACAAGCTCAAAGTCATTCCCTCTGTCACCTGAAGCTGTCAATACATTTGACAACTTGAAGAAAACTGTAGAAAGAGCCTTTGTTAATGCTATTGATAAAACTATACCATTTGAAGTCGAAACTGATGCATCTGATGTAGCACTAGCAGCCACACTCAGCCAAGAGGGCAGGCCTGTCGCTTTCTTCTCTCGCTCACTACAAGGGAGCGAACTGAAGAATGCTGTCATAGAAAAAGGAGCACAAGCTATCATTGAGGCCATCAGGCATTGGAGACATTTCCTGAGAGGGCGACACTTCATTCTGAGAATCACCCAAAAGTCTGTATCATACATGTTTAATCAACGCAACCGAGGTAAAATAAAGAACGACAAAATCATGCGTTGGAGGCTTGAACTAGCATGTTACAGCTTTGACGTTGTATACCGCCAAGGAAAGGAGAATGTACTCCCTAATGAACTATTCATAGCGACCTGTGCTTCTGCACCTCAAGGTTCCCTGTATAACCTCCACGATGCACTCTGCCACCCTGATGTTACCAGGCTTAACCACTTTGTTCGTGGCAAGAACTTACCTTATTCATTGGATGAGGTAAAGCATGTCACAAACCAATGTCAAATGTACGCTGAATCTAAGCCTCCATATCACAAGCCAGAAGAAGTCCCACTTATTAAAGCGACTCAACCCTTCGAAAGAATCAATATCGATTTCAAGGGTCCATTGCCAAGCAATAACAGAAACAAGTTTTTCCTGAACATAGTTGATGAATACTCCAGGTTCCTATTCGTGTTTCCACGCTCAGATATATCAACGTCTACAGTAATAAAGTGCTTAACTTCACTATTCTCCCTGTTTGGCATGCCAGCATTTGTTCATTCAGACCGTGGTACATCGTTCATGAGCCATGAGCTGCAAGCATTCCTAAGAGGAAATGGATTGACACTAGTCAAACAACAAGCTACATCCTTGCAGGAAATGGTCAAGTTGAAAGATATAACGGTATTCTATGGAAAGCTGTTGAAACGTCCTTGAAATCCAAAAATCTACATATTAAGTATTGGCAGGTTGTTCTATCTGATGCCCTCCATTCCATTCGCTCCTTACTCTGTACGGCTACAAATGAGACACCTCATGAGCGCTTCTTCAAGTTTCCTAGACGATCTTCTTCGGGTGCATCGATTCTTACTTGAATGACAGAACCAGGTGATGTACTCCTTATACGTCATGTTCGCACAAATAAAACTGATCCGTTAGTCGACGAGGTGAAGCTACTCCAGGCAACACTCACTATGCCTTTGTACGTTTTCCTGATGGTAGGGAGACAACTGTGTCAACGAAGCATCTTGCACACAAACCTCTATCTACAACTGAAGTTCAAGTTCAGCCTCACGATCATGCGCCAGAAACCACAGTTGTATATTCTCCTGCGCAACAAGAAGTACTTACAGCTACCAATCAAGCTAGCATATCTACTACATCTGAACACACCCCTGTGCGGCACTCTGAGCGAATCAGGCACCCAGTTGATAGACTTAATCTTTAAAGGACAGGGTTATTGTCGTGATAACCGCACTCCCTTCTATGTACATTTATATGTTTTTGGGGTCCTGTGGCTTATGAGTCAGTTATTATCCTTGTTAGCGGTCTTCTGTCTTGGCAGCCGCCAAGTTTGTCAATTAGGTTATGTTTATCGCTGATTAAAGCCTAACTTTAGGTCAAGGCGTAGTTAATCTTTCCCTACAGTTTGTTATAAAGGTAGTTTTCTAGTAAATGATTTGTGTTTATATTCGTCTCTAACGGAAAACGAGTAGAGGAAAGTGTAGTGAACTGAGACAATTTGAATTACGTAATCATATAGTTAATCATTAGTAGTGTAACATCACGTGAGTAAGGGGTATATTACAGATTATATTCATTAGGGATGGACAGTAATTTTCAGTCTTTAGTCGATGTGAAACGGTGATAAATAAAACATAACAAAACTTATGAGTGTGTTGGCCATCAACTTAGTTTATAACATTCCCAACACAGGTAAAGTTCAGCAATACGAGGCTGTATCTAGATACAAACCAGCAACACCAGACAGTATTCACATTGAAGTCACAGGGACAGTATATATACCTTATTTAATTTATCGTAATAAATAAATCAATTCACCCAATGATTACTGTCGTATTTTGTCCATACAATTTTTATATTGTGTGTATATGTAAATGAAGAAATCAAAATCCCGCTCACAAAGACGGAAATACATGTTCGACATTGCCGTATTAATGTCTTTTTTATTAGTGTTCAGACTTACCTTCCTTACTGTTGCAACAAGATTAAAAAGAAGCTTCTGTCTGCTATTTTTTCTTTACTAGCTGTTTAATAAATTTACTCTCCTACTGCTAGAGTTATCATTTTAATAACTTTTACTTTTTAGTACAAAGATTACACGGAAACTTTGCAGTATTGTGGTGTGTGGCAAAAGTTTGTATAAATGAGTAAGTCCGTGTCAGTGATGAAAACTTTCCGTGGGATGTGTAACATCAACGCTGATTTTATGTTTCATTATTTTCAGAAACTTTTTATCAGTGCTAAGAAATACCTAAATGCGCACGCACTACTTTTCTACGAACTGTAAAGGCTTGAAATAGCAGCTATAATGAAATTGCTATAAACACCAAATGTTGTATAAAGTTCATTAATGCAAAAAAATTGCGCTTTTACTGTAACGCTTTTCGTCAGTGCTGGCATAATGTCAACATTCTTAGGTTTTTGTCAGTGTCAAGTATAGAATGTCAAAAATTTTGGAACAACCACACTCATATTGTACGCGTTAGTGAGTTGATCTTGGACATAGGACAGTTAAATTGAAAGTTGCGCTAATATCTAGCTTCGTATGAAACATTAAAATTTACATTTATGATGTTTTACTTATGACTGAAAATTGATCAATACATTGAATACACAGACTAGGCTGACACAACACAGATGCTAGAGTACCATTTATAACTATGCTCTTAAAGGTGGTCATCCCCCTTTGATGGGTTTTTTCATAATTTCCATGAAATAAAATGAATTTTTCCATCTTCTCCAAGGAATCGACAAATGACAATAAAAATTTTCAGATTCTCATTTTAAAATTACACTCACATTCATGATGGCCTGCTAATTAGCACTAACGTGTGACATAGGTATCGAAAAACCTAGCATAGGTTTTAAAAGGCCTAGCACAGGTATTGAAAAACATTTGCTATGACAAGTGTTTAGTGAAAGTGTTTGAGTTAACGGTTGGTCATATTTTGTTTTGAGAGATTTTGCACGCGAGATCGCGCGCGTAACACCCATTGCACGTAAATAAGGAAGCTGCAGCCTGCTGTGAGAAATATTTAAAATTCTTTATGTTATCAAATACACCACGTCAACGTTAAAAGTTGGAGATATTTGATAGTCTGGCGATATATGATCATGATATCAAGAAATATTCCTTTCATCTAATAAAACGGTAAGATAAAGATTTTGCATCCTTAGATGGCGACTCGATTTAATTTTAATTTACGTATCTATCTAAGTAGAACAAAGACAGTTTTTCATTTAAAATTTACTTAAGACTTTGACTAATGTAGGTATGATTCGACCTTAAAACTAGTTTGCTTTGTTATTCTTGATAAGCATTTGAACATGGTTATTGTCAAACCATAAAATACAACAAACATAAACAAGATATTCAAGTTAGATTTCAAACATTGTATACAAAATATATACGAAATATATGAATATAAGTGAAGCAGAACATTAAATCACTGTGTTTAACATGATTTAATCTTAAAATGATCGTTGTAGAGGGTTTTCATCACTTAGTTACGTACATCAACATATTTTGAACTTTTGATATGATAAAACTTGTTTGTTGATATGTGTTGATTTGCTACTGAAATAACATACTAAAGTCAATATTTTATAAGTGTTCTTCATCTTTTATGATTGATCAATGATTGTGGACAATGTGTGGTTGATAAATATATTTTTGTTACAAGATTTATCTATTTACTTGGATTCATTCCTGTACAGGAAGATCAATAATTGTTGGGTGGTGCTCATATTAATTTATGTATATGATATGTTTTTATTCTTCAGTTGCTAGCTATTTCATGTAGTTTGCCTATTTTTTTGAAATAATAATCTAACCAATGAAAAATGGTTTTGGTCATAGTTGTACATATCTTACATCTTTTACACAATTTTGGATCAGCTCTCATAAAAATTATGTCCACCAATTTTTCATTGGTTTTCTTATTACAATGTTTTGTTGACCATTTTTATTGCTTTCATCACTTTTGTTGACTTTTTGACACACTCCCTTTTTTAGCAAGAAAAACTGTGGCAGGACTGTAGGATGATTGTTAATTTGGAGGTCATATTATGTATGCAGAATATAGGCTACATGTGCTAAGTTCCTTTGAAAACCATTGTTGTCTAAGTATCATCATATCCAAATGTTTATGTCACCCAAACCACAGTATAAAGAATATACAGTAGGACCACTTTCGGTGCAACTTACTGCTGTATATATAATTATATTACTGGGTGTAGTTTACCAGCTTAGTGCACTTATTGGTCAAAAAACGGTAGTGTCTGACTGCCACTATGGTAATCACTTGTGGAGTAAGATATGCATGTCACAAAAATATTCAATGCAATCTACTGTATGTTCTTTATAAAATTGTACTATATGTTCCTATAACCATGCCCCAATGAGGTATTTGCCACTTGCTAGTGTCCCTTAAATTTGCACGGTTTTTGCAATGCATTCACTGGTCCCAATGGGGCTAACATTTCTTCAGAAATGTATCTGTAATAATAATATTTTCGAGAGTTCTCAATTTAAAGCACCTATTTCCGATATAATGGTTGTTCGTTGTAATGGGTATTGTTACGGGCGAGGTCCCGAAAGAATAACTATTAATTTTGGTTCTTTTTCCACACGCAACTAAGATAGTGTGAACCACATATATTTCTCAAACAATTTATTAATCAACGCGTAAATATTAAAGTAGATAAGTGTCTTAATAATAATATCAAGAAGTATGAGTAAAACTTATCTCCTCTGTCTGAGTACAACCGCGAGTCTTTATTCTTGAGCGTCTGTGAGTCCAACATTGACTCACAATAGTTTTCCAATAGATTAAAGGCACAGGAACCAAAAGATAGTTGTCTGGTAGATTGCAGCTTGTCAACCTACTTCGGTAGGCTATGCCTCCTAAGTTAATCTCCTCGTAGCTAGTGCTCGTAGGTTGTCCTCGTAGGTTGTACTCAGTGGTCTAAAATATTCATATATATATAATATCTAATGGGAAGTATTGTGGTTTTGTGACCTACATCCGATATGCAATACAGTATGTTACAGCAAGATATAGTTAACCACAATAACAACAAATGCGGTTGCGGTTCTAAAATATGTTTACGCATGTAAGCAAGCTTCTAGCGCATGCAAGCAAGCTTCTAGATTATGTCCCAATTAGTAATATATGAAATTATAATATGATATAATAATGATATTACATGATAGTAGTTGCTATCATTGTAACAGGTATTCGTTACCAGTTGGGAGAAAAGATCTAAAAGTATGTGGAGGCGGCACGGCAATTGCTTTTATCGAGCAGTTGCGTTGGCTATAAACGGCGAAAGCAACGAAAACTTTTCTCACATTCGAGAAATGTGTAACGATGTTTTGATACAAAATCCGGCTACTTTTCGACCGTATTTATTTCGATACGAATCGATGAAAAAGCATCTGGAGCGAAGCATTATGTCCGGTACGTGGGGAGAAACAGTGGATATGTACACTTGTGCCTGAAAACTAAATTTAACTTTTCTAGTGACAATCCAGTGTAGCGGTAGAAATTCGTCTGGCAAATAGCTTGTTCAATAAATAAGTTTCTTTTCAATGTTTTAACATCGCCTTGGCAAGAACAGTCAATGAGGTCATGTTTATCACTTTCAAAGCTGTAGCTATCATTACAATCATAACTTGTAACATCCAAGTCTGTTGTACAATTTATTTGTGGACTGTCTTGGTGCACAGACTCTGCCTCAGTACACTGCTCAAGAACAGTGATTTCAGCTGCAAAAATGGCCTTATCCTCATGGTCAAAGCGTTTTTTAGTACTGCCTTCACACAGAATTTTTCGTCTCTTTATTTTTAGAATATTTGATTTACTTTTATCTTTCGGCGGTAATCGTTTACTCGTTTCTTTTGATTGGTATCCTTTCAGATACAAAGTTGGATTGGGACAGCCTTCGGATCGAGAACCAGCAAGAAAATGATTAGAACAAACCTTCGTATTAGTAGTGACTTTGATGTTTTTCCTGTTAATCAGCTTTACCAAGCACTCTTATCTTTCGTTTTTCGGAGAAAAAAGTGAAGAATACCAACATGATCGGAAACGATATATTTTTCAGGATATCTCCTATTGTTATCACAGCGATAAACAGCACTGTGATCCCTATTCCCATTATAATTTGAATATAAACTTTTTACGAAAAGATATCTTTATAAAGATACACAATGTTGCCCCCTGGCGATCTTAGAATTCATTGCAAAAACTGCGCAAATTTAAGGGAGACTGGCAACCGGCAAATACCTCATTACATTATATCTTCATAGGTCCTAAGTCTTGAATGAAGCATTAGTCCAAATAAATTACACTTGCTCATTTTTTCATAATACCTTCTAAACAATGATAATGCTTATGAATTTTTAAAGAATAAAATTTTCAGTGGTGTAGCCAGACTGATAAAATGTTTAGTCCTTTAATGTACGTTTTTATATTCTTTTACTGTGAAAATAATAGGCATTTTACCTTATGAGTGTTAAAGTGTCCCTTCCACCAAAAAAATTTTTAGCAATATCAAATCTGTCGATGATTCTAAGCCTCGTTAAGAAAAAAAATTTTGAATTTGGTCAAATCGTTTGATTTTTGTAAAAGCGTTAAATTCACTAAAATCGTATATTCTTGTGAACTATGTCCGTGATAATGAGGAGTCTGAAACTAGCTAAATTTCTGACGTCATCCAAGTTACTCGTGTTACACGAGTCCTGTATTCAATTGCTATTAAGTCAATGCTGAATGAGGCACAACTTAAGTCTATAAGCGTGTAAAAGCATTGCCTTTGTACTAGTAAAAGCAGAAAAAAGGTAAATAGTTGTGTTGCAGCCAATTGTACGAATAAGTCAAGCCTTTGCTCTCTTATGAGTCTTCACACTATGCCTTATAATGATAAAAAGCCCGAGGCCAAACGAAGACGGAATATCTGGGTTTTAAAGCAAAGCGCGTATTTGAGCCTTCCAGTGGTTCAACACTTTGTTCGTCTCGATTAAAACCAGAAGATTTGGAACGTCAGTTTAGTAGTTTGCCGAATCAAAAAAACGCTAATTTTCCAGGGCTTAAAAAAGATGAAATTAGAATTTGTGTCTTTCCGTCCATCCATGCTTTGGAGTCAAAATCCGTATCATTATCGCTCAAGTTTCATTGCTTTCCGAGTTTTCTGTCACGTATCCCCCTTGAATAAAGTTTTTGTCATAATTATCTGACTGAACACTCAATTCTGATTTTGATTTATCGCTTTCTTTGCAAGACATAATTTTCTCGAACATTATAATTAAACAGCGTGAAAGAACGTATATGTTTATTATAAGCTAAATATGCCAGAATGCTGACTATATTGGATTACGTCAAAATACCTTCTAGTGCCAGTTTATCTTGTATTATAGAAAACGACGGCGTTGGGCCAAAAATGCACAACTTCAAGATGCCATAAAAGCTTGTTGATTTAACCAAACTTCTGAAATTTTTCCTCCGAAAGGTTTAAAGTAATAGACAGATTTCATATTGCTAGAAAAAATTTTGGAGGCAATACTGAAAAAGTGTCTGAATGAGGCAGTGTCTGTCTGTATGTCGTGATATCTTCGGCTGTATTCTCGTTCATAGTCGCAAATGCAAACGATAACGAATAATATTGTTTTATCTAGTATAGTCAATGCTTGGAACATGATAGCTACACTGTGCAGTCCGAGCTTGTATTTTGTTCGGTATTTTATTCGTATATCACGTTGTTTATCTCTCACCCTGTGTTCTGTTTTTTGGTGTAGAAAATGTAAAGCAGACAGGATATAGTTTATTTTTTATATTTATTTCAATTAGTAATGACGACGATTTGGATTTAACAGATCGTCAAAAATGACGAAGAGTTTAAATATTTTATGGCCCTATGGAAAATAACTACATCATCAATGATATATGTACCATGTACAATGCCTCCTCATTTAAACAATAAACATAAAAATTTGAATTGGAGCAGAATCATCGGCAACATAGTCCTTTCAATAAACAAATATTCGTACACCACAACAAACCGATTTGATATATCTTTTCACCACACCATTGTTAGACAAATAAGATATAATATTCATTTAAAAAAATCCTTTCAATTCAAAATGGCGAAGAACTTATCGTTCTATCATTGAAATTTATGAGATTTATAAGAACATGGCATTTATATTGTTTTCTGCAAGCTTCCTTTTCACGATATTAGCACGTGAACACTAGCATACATAACATGCACTGAGCGTAGGAGAGCAATAAAAAAGAAAAGTAATGATAATTACTGGGCATTTTTATTAAACAATGAGCACAGAGAACGTTTTGTACCAAAGTGAAGTGCCTAAGAAAGGAATGATTTTATTTTGTGGCAATTTGACTTGATAATATTTTTTGTTATTTTTCATATGTTATTATTACGGACCTTGGGAATTTACCTTGGGACTTCACTTAATGAAAAATACAACACTAAGCAGTTGGACTACTGAATACTGTTTGTTCCATGTAATGTAACTCTGGTCAAGGCTACCCACATGTACACACTCGTATCTATTTTTTATGTACCTTGTTCATCTGGAGACGATTGCACGAAGTCTGGATAGCATTATTCGTCGGATAGTAAAGTTTTCAAACTTGTAGAAAAAGATGTTTATATTTTCTTTAGGTGAAAGAATTTTGTAAACTTAGAAGCAATATTTTATTTCAATGATTGCTCAGTTCAAATCACATATTATTCCTTTTTTAACAAATTTTGTAAAAGTTCAAAACAATTTGCCATCTAATGGATTAAACTACTCTGCCTTCATGCAACCGGCCGCAGGTTTTCCTTTATAATCACAATGAATTTGTACCTTAGAAGTGTTACCTACTTTTTTTCTACAGGGAGCAACATTATGTCTGTCTTGAGCTCAGACATGAAAACTAATGGTTTTAAGTTGATGAGATTAATTGTTGATGTTGGTGGAGAAGCTTTAAGAATAACATTGAGGAAACAATTGTCAGGTACTGATTTATTTTATAATTTAAATAACAATAAAAATTATCATAAGCTTTTGTCGCTAAAAGATAAGCAAATTATAAAGCAACATCAATGGGATCTACTGTATCCTCCTCCTCCAATATTACAAAATGAAAATAAGTTTGACATTACTTTACTTTGTATTCTCCTGCGTAATATTTGTGGTTTAAAACCACCTTGGGATCCAATATGGAGGTCAGTTAATGATCCCACTGATTATTCAACTGAAGCAGATATTACGCGTATCAGGTTATTTCGTAATGATCATTTTGCTCACTTACCTGACACTTCAGTAAGCTTTGATGAATTTGAAAATCATTGGCTGGAAATAAGCGAACCATTAGTACGTTTAGGACTTAGTCAGGAAGAAATAGATATGTTGAAAAATGAGTTGTTTGGTAATGAAGAATATGAAAGAATTTTGAGAGAATGGGATCGATTAAAGAGCGATTTAACTGATATAAAAACTGATCAGAAAGGTATTAAGAGAACAATCGAGGGTGTAGAGAAAGGTTTACAACAAGTAAAAGATAGTGTAGAGAATCGTATGTGTGTGATTGAAAGTAATCAGGAAGAAATGAGAAGACATCAGAAAGAAATGAAATGTCCAATTCACTCACGTCCAGTAGAAGATATTTTAACAACAAACCTTGTAAGTTGTAACTTTGAAAGTGAAATTGGACATCATTATGAAAAATTTTTAGAGGGAACACGGGAATGGGTTTTTGATGAGTTTTTAGCTTGGTTCGAAGACGACAGTTCTCAAAATCGTGCATTTATTATTTCTGCTGTTGCTGGCATGGGAAAGTCTGTAATTGCAGCTACTTTATGTAAACGTTATCCACAATATTTGACTGCAGTTCATTTCTTTCAACACAACAACAGTCGTTACAATAAAGCCAATGTACTTCTTCAATCTTTAGCGATGCAAGTTAGTCGTAATTTTTCTCCTTACAAACAACTTCTTGTAAAAAAACTTTCAGGTAAACTCTCTCAGCCTTTGAATAACATGAATGTGGAAGGATTATTTTCCCTTCTTTTTACTGAGTTGTTTTATAATATCTCAGAAGTTCCCAAGCGAATGTTAGTTGTGCTTGATGCTCTTGATGAATGTGGTTATCCAGAAAGAGATGACCTTGCTAATTTGATTGCTAATCACTTGCACAAACTTCCGCATTGTTTTCGCTTTGTAATTACCACGAGACCTAATGAAGTTTGTTTAAATAAGTTCGAAAAATTAAATCCTCAGTTCATTAATTGCAGCGATAAACGCAATTTAGACGATATTAATTTTTTGATTAAAGAAAGAATTGACTCTATTGACAGCATTCCTGGTTTTAAAAATATTTTGGCAGAAAAGGCTGACGGACTTATGTTGCTTGCATCGCTTCTTACCAGTGAAGTCAAAAATCAGGATTTGTTGAATGCGTCCATACCAAAAGATCTCAATGAATATTACGAAATTTGCTTAACAAGATTAAGTAAGGAATTATTCGATTCGTTTGATATCAGTAACGAAAAGTTTCAGTCAATTTTAAATACTTTGGCTGTTGCTAAAGAGCCTCTTCCTTGGGAAATGATCGATGACGTTCTTTGTTTGAATTCGAATCGCGTATCACTTGAGGTTAGAAAAATTATCTCTTGTCTGTTTGTTAGCAATGAAGAAGGATGTGTTTCGTTTTTTCACAAATCCTTAAATGATTGGTTGTTGGATGATCGAAAACATATTTACTCAGTAAAAACTCTTTGTGGTCATCGTCTTGTTTTAGAATTTTGTTTAAAATCTTTAAATAACCTCAAAGCTGGAGGTGTAAACTATGACGTCATTAAACATGTGACAGTGAGGTATTCAGTCAAGTATTGGTTGCTTCATTTACTTGATATTTCTAATAATGATTATATCGTTGAAAATGTTGGTAAATATCTTGTTGACTTGGAAGTTTTAGTTGCTTCTGTGTTGGTTGATAGTCGTCGTACTTTTGAAAATTTTGAGTTATTCAACGCACATGATGTGTACTTTCTTATTTCTGAGGACATTCGGTTTTTATTTAATGAAGTTTATTCTGTGTTGACGTACTCTGACAATGAAGTAATTTTTTTGCAAAGCGTTGCCAACGAAGCCAAAGATCTGTCGTCTCAAGCCACCACAATGCTTCAAACACGTTTCAAAGATTCACCATATCTGGAGTACAGAGACACGGGTTTTGTAAAGTCTCGATTATTACGTTTAGATCAAAATTTGAAGTCTGTTGATGTTTCACGAAATCATGATTACGTCGTCTGTGGTTATGAAGGATTCATCGTGCAACTTTTTTCATTGAGAACAAACAGATGTTTATGGATAAAAAATATTTCTGGTCAGTTTAAGCAATATAAAGAGGAAGAATTTTGCGTTGTCTTTTATCCATTCGAAGATTTGATATTTGCTTCCCAGCTTGATAAGATATTAGACATTAATGATAAAATTTCCTCCAGTCCGTTCCATTGTGATGATTTTACTTCTAAGTTCTTTACCAACAAATGTTTTTCTAAGGATAAGTACACAATGGTCACTAGTTACAAAGATACTTTGACAGTATGGGACGTTGAGAAAGGTGAAAAGAAACGCAGTATTAGATGTAATAATGTGACCTCACTGTGTTTTTCTAATTCTGGAAGATATTTGTGTGTTATTGAGGAAGAAAGAGTGGTTCAAATATTTAATGTAGCGAATAATTATGAAACGTTCGTTTACGACGATCATTTACCGCCTGATAATTTAAGTGAGTTTTGTGTTTTGTCCACTGTTGGTCTTCATTCTTGGTGTTGTTGCCATCCTTTTTATAGGAAGGAACATTTCATTGTAAATCCCACTGGTGAGCAACTTCATGACTTAGGTCCTGATTCTCAAACTTTATTTCCTCTTGATCCTTTTGATGAAAACAGATGTAGCTTTTCCTTTTATGGAGCCGGAAAGTATTATTTTATTTTGAATAACGAAAATGTTCTTTTGTTTAATTACAATTATGACTTTTACCTTTATTCAATACCGCGTGCCTGTTTAACCAACAATTACAGTTTTCATAACGAGAAGTTTTGCTCAAATGGAAAATTTCTGTATCGGAGTAATGAAGAAAATCCAAGGATAATTATATACAATCTCAACACATTTCACTTTGTTGTCAAGGAATGTTTTTTTAGTGACATGATTGCTGTAGAAAATGGAGTTATTTTGCTTACGGTAAAAAATATTCCTGAGCTTTGGAATAATGATTTGACAAAACTTGTTTATAGTTTCGATGAACTAAAAGATACAAACAAAATTTTTGAGGTGAGTGATGTATCATTTGCTTGTCAAAAAACTGATTCTTTAGTGTTTTTCAATGTTGAAAACAAGCGAAAAGAAATATCAGTGAATTTCGAAAATTATCAAAATGTGCACGTATTTGCATGTAGCTCTAAGTATCACGTGTTTGCTAAAGTTGAATTTAAGGATCAGATAATTTACTGTATGTGGCATGAAGACAAATTTATTAATGGTTGGGATGACGTAATTAAGGAGGAAGCCGCCAATTTAGTCGTCGACAAAGACGTTGGAAAGTACCTGTATAATATTACTAGCTGTATAACTTACGCTGCTTTTTCACCTTCAGCAGGTAATTTATCAATAAGTTACATGCATGAGTATGTGAAAGTATTTGACGTTAAAAACATACAAATTATTTATAGTTATACTGAGGGGATTTTTTGGCGAAAGTTTTTCTTTGTTGATGATAGGTATATAATTCGTGAATCCTTAGATTTGATTGATTTGAAATATTTTAAGATTGTAAAATTTATTCTCCCGCTTGTGAGTATAGTTCCAGAAACTTTTTATTACTGTCGTAAACGCAAACTTGCTTTAATTTTTTCTTCCTTTAATGTCCCGGTACAATGCGTAAAAATCATCTTGCCACGAGGATAAATTTGATCTTTGATGATAAATTTCTCACCATTTTGGATAATGACTATATTATCTTTAAGAAAATCTTGTTTAGTTTTTATGCATGATCCCTATCATTGCTGACATTTCAATTGTCTGTTTGCGTATGATTTCATGAAACAACCTTTCTCTAATATTGATTGTTCTGTACAGAGACCGCGGTGTACAATAATGTCAACATTTAGAGAGATCATGTATAAAAGCTAAAGTTAATTAAAGATGAAAATTCAATGACAATAAACATGAAAATTCAATGACAATATAGATGAAAATTCAATGACCATAAACACAAATGATATTGTGTCTAAGATAATAATTTTCCTTGCACAAGAAAATAATTTTATTGACTTTTATCTTATCACACAAACATATAAAATTCAAACTTTTGTTAGTTATTGTACCATTGGTTATATTTTGTTTATATCTACACCATGTAAACATATAATTTTCATGCAAATGTATTCAGTGTAAGATGGTTTTAATATTGCACGTTTTTCGATACTCTTTTACACCAAAAACAAGTTGTTACTAATTAAATCAATACTATCTTGCACTGAAATAATTTCTTAATAGTTTTTAATTATTGCATTTTGATGTAAAATATATCTATGTGTTAAGTTGTTAAGAGAGACAAAGACAGCACAATTGTTACTTCGGTTATATGGATATTTTCGTCTTTATCAATTTGAAAAACGTAAATTTATAATAAAACAATGGTACCTTTGCTAATTTGTTCTAGAAAAACTAAAAATTTGGCTGTCTTTCTCACTGACTGTTAAAAAGTAAATCGTAAACTCCACTAGAAAATGACTTCATGATTGACGCTCATCATCGTGATAAACAATTTGACCATTGTGATTGAACACTCCAAACCGTATGAACAGGAAAACTTGAAAAAAGTCAAAGAAAGTTGTGCAATATAGAGAGACGGAGAACAAACGACAATGTTGCATATGAAATGATGTTTAATGACAAGTTTTTAACTTTTTGAAAAATCGATGTCAGAGATTCGTAACGTTTAAACAGTTTTACTTTAAAAATCAATACTTTATGGAAATTGTTTTTAACAGCATCAACTCAAACATCAGTGGACATATTGCAAGTTACTTTGGCTAAGTTTGATATGTTTATCGCTTGTCTATAAAATTCCATCGTCTACTCTATTCAAACAATAATACAAGAAGGAGAACTTTATTTCAGGAAGTGACGTAATGAAAGAAATGGCTAATTTATGTACCATGATTTTCTGTGGAGTTATTGTACTTTGTATCGTCACCCAGGTCACGTGTTCATTGAAATGTCTTCTGTTGTCAAAATTGGAAGATATGAACTTTTACATTTTTAAAATGGTGAAGCTGGCTGTTCACTTTGCTTACTTTTTATAAAACTGAAGCGTGAAAATTATCATCTCATGTGGACGTTTTGATGTGAACATAACGCATAAGTAATCATGAGAGTGAATAAAAAGAATTTGATTTTATTACATTGTTGCTATTGGAGGTGGCTAAAGGATATTTTTGCTGCATCTATAATTGAAGCTGCTTCTTCATACAAACACACTGTCATTGTGAATTTTATGACACTTGATTGCCTTTGCGCATGCTCTGAAATACATATATGTACTTGAATGATACTATAACATTTGTGATATGAAGTAAGATCATAACAGCAACATGCCATGAAAATTCAAAGCAAACGTCAACTATGGATGGTTGTAGAATGAAAGTGATCAGTTTAGTTCATATAAATGGTAAACAAATCATTCACAACAATAGTAACTTCGACATGTAAGAACTACATCATGTTTTAAGAATGAAAATTATGGAAAGATTTTAACGTCTTTCTTTTTCAAGATGTCATATTTCTAAATCCACTGTGTTTTATTTTTTTGCGTAGTAAACAATTTTAGATCATTAAATTTATTACATATTGTGCACATATCTACGTATAGTGAATAGATGTTTTTATAACAACTCATAAACGGACATGTACCGTTGGTATTTCATATTGACATATCTACGTATAGATAATAACCCATAAACGGATATCTACCGTAAGCAGACATTAGATTGTGGTCACAATGATGTCCGTTTACGAGTAGCTTGACTGTATGCAGACGTTTCATTACTGCACTTTTTCTTTACGTTTCTAGATTTTTCTTTTGCTTTTCAAATTTTAAATGCTAAATAAATGAATCCCACATAACTCAATACCATTTTTTAGAGTAATAGTAATTTGCCAACTGCCATGTAAAGATTACTGTTGCTTTAGAAAGCAGGTGTCGTATCTTGAATTCAAAAATACCAATTTTTGAAACTAGCATTCAATAGTTGTATAGTAACTTTCACTCACATTCAGCAACATTGTTTGTTGGTAACTGTCATCTTGTAAAGGAAGTTAAAAATACCCACATTTTATCAAAACAAAACAATTGCAGTTGCCATTTTAAAGACTGGTTGGGATTCATTTATTCAGCACTTGTAAAAAGTTATTTAGAGAGAAACTTTCTTTTTGCTCAGTGTTTTGTTGAACTTTGTTTTTTAACACATACTAACATAGTTTTATTATATTAGTATGTAAATATAGGAAATAATCGCTGTATGAATATGTTTTCTACAAAATTGTTACAATATATGTGTGTTAATCTATATATTATGTCTTAAATAATTTTCACATTGTCCACTACATTAAGCTTTTATTGAGACTCTCGAGAAATTAGGCTCACTATTTCCCCAAGGAGAGTACATCAAATGTTTTGTTAAAAAGAAAAAATCTCACCAGGGGACTGGCCGCAATATTTCGTTGCAAAATGCTATGATTGACCACAGCATTTTAGGTTGACTTCTGAGTGTTTTCTTAATTCTTTTTATTAATAGTTGATTTTCGTCACTTAATAAGCTCGAGAAACGTTTTTTCAGTTTTCGGCTTGGTGGCTGTTTTATTCTTTATGATATTAAAATGAGCGGGCAACACCTTTTCACTTGTTTTACTGGCAGGAAATTGTGCTTATTTCAAGTCATGTGACTACTAATGAACCAATCGCAATTACTATACACAGCACCTATATAACAATACAACCCATTGTATAAATAGACATAATTCGAAAATTGATTTATCGATTTGAATGTTTGCAGGATTCCAAATCTAAATCAAACGACTTTTGCACATCATTAGTCTCCTAGAATTTAGTTTAGAATAATGCATCAGTGGAACATGGTGATCGGGAATTAAATTTTCAGAATAAGTTGAATTTTATAATACTGTTTTTTGATACATCCTGTTTTTTTTCCTTTTTGGGAACACCACGTATAATGTATGTATGTACGTAAAGAATGGTTCATAAGATGAGATCATAAGCTACAATTACATCTTCTACACGTAGAATCTTATCAATTTTCTTACATTAAAGTTTTAGAAAACAAATGCTTTACATGAACCGAACACATTTAAAACAAAAGATAATGAGGAAACTTATCTCATTTTTTTTCTTTAATGTGTTCGACGTTTGAAAAGGCCTTAGATTGAAGTTAAAAGATATCACAAAACACTTCAATCTTGAAGGAAAAGTAACATTTATATTTTTGATAAGCATCCTGAACACCATGTGATTTCTTTATTGTGTCTATAATTAATTAAAATTGTATTGTTAGTCCTGATTTCAGGACTTTCGTACCGGTTTGATGAAATGGCACATATGCCATGTTGTTCGTCATTGTCATTTTACCCAAAAACAGGAGAGATTACTTCCGGTAAATGAAGTGAATACAAACTCCTATACGTTTTTTCGACTATAGCACCATACACTAGTTTCTATCTGATTCTCTCATCGTGGAATGTTTGGGTGTCAAGGAAAAGCGTCTTCCTTTCAAATTTTGCTTCATTTCATTATGGGTTAGCCGTTAGCAGTTAGCATATGATATACAGACATAAGATTGAGTTTATATGAAATGTAACAAATTGGATGTTTCTTAAATTTGCCAGGAGAGTTTTTCCAAATATCGACAACCTTATTCCCATTTTCCCCGTATGTTTAAAGCTCAGTTAATTTTTCTCGTGTCATGGGCGTATGCTGCTGGACGTAAGTAAGGAACCAAGGCTGCTATACTGCGCGAAGCGCCCAGGGTGGTATATCAATTACAGCCGAGGCTCTATAAAAGTCGTTGATTAACTTATTATACGAAGTAATTATTTCATTATATTTGTGCGAAATATTGATTGTATATCGAAAGTAATTATAATATAAACACAATACGTGAAAGCATAAACAATAGAGAAGTGTCCATTAGTGTTTGAGTCAAAAGAGTGATGAATCCCAGAGGTGTTTGGTTTTTTATTTAAAATTCATATTTTGCATGCTGTTTCCATAATAGCTTTGCTTCCATAAACTTGTGTTTTATTTGAGCTGTGTCTTTGCTTGTAATGGATGTCTGAGACAGTGGCCAGTTTTGAATTTTTGGAGGTGCAAATTTTAAACATTTCTAGACACGATTGACTCTGAAATGAGGCGCTAACAACACAAGATGTCAAGTGTACAGAATTATGAGAAGTCAAGTGTACAGAATTATGAGATTAAGTCAGTTGACATTAGATCCGACATGTAACGAGAACCCTAAAAAGCTTGTGAAGCGTGTGAAATATTTTGTGGTGGATCTGAGGAAGATGAAGATAATTCAAACGTGAGTGAAATATAAATGTAAACCAAATTCAGGTTTAAAGTGTCATTACCCAACTAAAAAAATTAAAGCTGACCTTGAAAGCTTCATTATTAAAATTATTTCTACTGTTGTTATTTGGTAATCAGAAATCAAGTCAATAATTAATGTCGTATTTTGTCCATACAGTCATTGTTGTGTAGTATATATAAATGAAAAGGCAAAATCCTGCACATAAATACGGAAATATATGTTCGACTTGAGGCATTAATGGCTTTCTTCAATCTATGTTCAGACTTACCTACCGTTCTTGTTGCAAGAAGATGGAAAG